AAATAAATTGAATAAAATCAAAAGAGGAAGTTATGGCACAAACATTTTGTTATATTTTTCCATAGTTCTATCACTGATTCTAAACAACAACAATCATACTGTACATGGACTATTCATTTCTTGTTGTATTATTTTCATGTTATATATATTGTGTCTTTATGCATTAACAGCAAAATGGTGTATGAAAAAAAAAGATTGTGTGGTTTGAAACAGTCAATTCTTTAGGAAATCATGTTTGTTTCATTACATGATTTGATCATCATTTTTGAAAGAGCTATTTACTTAAATAAATGTATTTAGATATCAGCATAAAATGTGCAAGTAAGTCATGGAGGGGGATTATGAATCTTATTTAACACAACAATGTGTCATTATGTATGTGATCAAATCTCTGTCAGCTTCTTAGTGTGTACACATGTGATTGATGTGTTTTATTTGTACAACTTTCACTAGAAAGGGAGTATTGATGGTGAAATTGACTTGTATGCAACATGTAATGGCTCTTGATGTGAGGAAGTGATTGAAAAGCTGCTGCACTTCTTTTTCTTTGTAATCAGTACATTTCCAGTTCAACATAAGGTTCGTAGACATGATTTTAGACTTTACAGCTCTTTGAGAAAATAATTGCTATTTGCAGTATGTACATAAAGTTGTTACATCAGTTTAGAGAGAAGGGTTTTAACCACACTAATCTGAATGTGATACAATTCATCATACACTTTTTCACACGCTAAAGTTAATCACACAAAGAAACAAACTTGCTTACTACAAATATAATTTGCCATTTCTACTCGACACGAATGTGCAAGCAAACAAAAATATCACAACACATTTACTGTAATAGAAATCAAGACTTAGGAAATGTCTTGACAGTGGTTCTGAGGCCAAAAGTGAAATAGTATAGGAAGACAGGTCTGAAGGCGTGATCTCTGAGGCCATATATGAGCGGGCTCAAACACTTAGGGAAAATGATAAGACATAAAAAGAGAGCATACCGAATGTGAACGGCGATAGCCGGATTTATCTTCAACGGGGTAACGGAGTTTATCATATCAGAGAGAGTGGAGGTGAGACACAGGCATAACTGAATCAGATGCAAAAGCATTGTCTTTTGGGGCTTACTGGAGTTACGGTCACTAGAGGCTGACTTCACAGTAATCATGACAGCAATGTATGTGTAGATGGAAATCATGCCCACTAATACAAAACATGCGATGGTGATGCCCTCGTTTACAGTTGTATAAATTTGTAGCTTGAAGGCGTGTTTGTGGCAGATCCTTAGCACAGTGAAGCCTGTACTCTCCAGACTAATATATAGCAAGAGCTGCGTGAAAAAGTCAAAAGAGGCAAATGTCCACATAAGAGCAATGGCCACTCCTGTCATCCTGGTGGTGACAATATTGGCATGCCTCAGTGGAAAACAAATGGCAACATACCTCTCCAAAGACATCACAGCGAGGTTGAGGGGTGATAGTTTAAGAGTGATGCGTCCGAGCAATGTGATAAGAATACAAACAAAGCTCATCATTCTGACCATGGTCACGGCAAGGATGTACAGCACGATTGACACAAGGAGCTGCAGAGAGTCAGCGAGGAGCAAATGACCAAACAGAATGTAGCGGGGAGACTCCAGGAGGAGAGGCTTGCTCAGCAAGGCAAACAGCATGACGGCGTTTACGTACAGAAAGAAAAGACATGGCAGGACAGACAGCAGCACTTTGACTGGCTTCTGAAACAGCATGTCCTGGGTAACCTCTGTTGTGTTATTCATGACCGCTGCTTCATGCAGCGTCTGTAAAGGCATAATAACACATAGACATGATCACATCTCACTGATCCTTAATCAACGATATATGAACAGTCCTGAATCTTTAAAGCCTGTTTAGAATGATTTTGTCAAATAATATCTTAAATAAGCAGGTTGGCCTGAAAAAAAGCCACAATTTCAGTCAATAAAAATAAAGACAGCCTCGCAATGAATAAAAACATTTCAGAAATACATATAGCCCTATGAAGTTGACAAACAGATCGAGACACATTACTCACATATTGCTGATTGGGACTTCATTTGACAATGAAGGTTTGTGGAAGAAATCTGAAGATTGAATCAACCTCCACTACATCATGTCCTTTTTGTACAAGTAATCTATGTCATGACATCATCACCTGTGTCAGTTTAACCAATCAAAGCTCTGCATTTTCTTTTTTTTGAAAGAGAGTTTGAAAAGTTGTGAAAAAGTGCACAGAAATTCAACCAGGGGTTTCTAAATGGACATTTGTGACTGCTTGAAATTGCACGACAAGCAATAAAGTACCTTTCATACTGACTCTTTACCTTCAGCAGCCTGGTGAAGGTTGAGCTGGAAACATCAACCTGCAAAAATAATTGTAAACTGACTATATGATGAAAATGTGTTCACAAGATGTAAAATGTAGTTGGCCTGTAGGTAGTGCCTAAGACCTAAACCAAAATGTGGTGTTAATTGGCTCAGCTCTACATCATCAAGCTTTGAATTGCATTGATCCGTCTAAACTGTATACTTTGTCAACCTCAGCTGGACTTTAAATGTTTGCATAAACCACAGAAACTAGAAGAGTCCATTTGAAACAACCCGCGTGGTTTTCTCAACTTTGTAAGTGGAACTTTCTTCAAAGTTCCTCGTTCACAAGACTTATGTGCTTTCAAAACATACGTCCGAGGAGATTACTTTTAATGTTTTTATGAATTACTTTTGTTGTCTACACTTTTCTTATTGCCAACATAACATTGAAATAC